AGTATGTGGACTGAGAACTCCCAGAAGTACAAGCTGGATTTTGAAGCGGCAGAGGAACTAGAGACCAAATTGCTAACATGCGCTCTATAATGGAAAAAGCCAGAGAATTCCAGAAAAACATCTACTTCTGCTTCATTGACTATGCAAAAGCCTTTGACTATGTGGAACAAAACAAACTATGGCAAGTTCTTAAAGAAATTGGACTGCCTGACCACCTTATCTCCTGAGAAATCTATATGTAGGACAGGAAGCAAGAGTTAGAACTGGATATGGAACAACTGATTGGTTTAAAATTGGAAAAGGAGTATAACAAGGCTGTATATTGTCTCCCTGCTTATTTAACTTATATGCAGAATACATCATGCGAAAGGCTGGACCAGATGAATCCCAAGCCAGAATTAAGATTGCCAGAAGTATCAACAACCTCAGATATGCAGGTGATACCACTCTGATGGCAGAAAGTGAGGAGGAATTAAAGAACCTCTAAATGAGGGTGAAAGAGGAGAGTGCAAAAAATGGTCTGAAGCTCAACATCAAAAAAAAAAAAGATCATGGCCACTGGTCCCATCACCTTCTGACAAATAGAAGGGTAAGATATGGAGGCAGTGAGAGATTTTACTTCCTTGGGCTCCATGATCACTGCAGATGGTGACAGCAGTCACAAAATTAAAAGACACCTGCTTCTTGGGAGGAAAACGATGACAAACCTAATTAGCATCTTAATAAGCAGAGACATCATCTTGCTGACAAAGGTCCACATAGTCAAATCTAAGGTTTTCCCAATAGTGATGTATGGAAGTGAGAACTGGACCATAAAGAAGGCTGATGCGTTTGAATTGTGGTGCTGGAAAAGACTCTTGAGAGTCCCCTGGACTGCAAAAAGAACAAACCTATCCATTTTGAAGGAAATGAACCTTGAGTGCTCACTGGAAGGACAGATCCTGAAACTGAGGCTACAATAGTTCAGTCATCTCATGAGAAGAGAAGACTCCCTGGAAAAGAAGGAAAATTGTAACATTGTTGTAATATTACTATTGTTTTATTTTATTTGTTGTGAGCCACCCAGAGTAAGCATTGTCTAGATCAGTGGCATATACGTCTAATAAATAAAATTAAAAAAAAAGACCCTGATGTTGGGAAAGAGTGAAGGCAAGAGAGAAGGGGATGACGGAGAATGAGATGGTTGGGCAATGTCACTGAAGCTATAAACATGTATTTGACCCAACTCCAGGAGGCAATGGAGGACAGGAGGGCCTGGCGTGCTCTGGTCCATGGGGTCACGAAGAGTCGGACACAACTTAATGACAAGCAACAACAACAAACAGTGCTAAAGGAATATGTGAAAGTAATATAAATACCCTCTTACCACCTTGGCAGGGTGTCTGCTCTTGTGAAGGATTGAACGTGTAGTTTATCATATGAAAGAGGCTCCTTTTTAATTTTCAATCAAATGACTGTTTTATTTGTGTTTAAACATTACTGTAGTTCTGAAGAGACAGTGGTGAACATTCACCTTCAGTCCTTTGCTGTAATTGTAGCAGTCAACTCTCCATCTCTAATGAATGGTCTCTCCGAGTCCAAAAAAAAGGCATCACAGAATATACCGTGTATGTGTGTTCATATAAAACAACAATTTCAGTTGGTTAAACTTGTTTTCTTAGAAGCATGAAGAATGGGTAACTGTGAGAAAAATAGATGGCACATGTTGGAATATGGGCACCAGTCAAGCAGTTATCTGCATATGTGGTAGCTATGCTTAAAGATCCAGCTAGTGCCAGCCTTACATAAGCTGCTTCTTCTTCTTCTTCTTCTTCTTCTTCTTCTTCTTCTTCTTCTTCTTCTTCTTCTTCTTCTTCTTCTTCTTCTTCTTCTTCTTCTTCTTCTTCTTCTTCTTCTTCTTAGTCCTGGTCTGATGTTCAGACACCTATACTTAAATTTCTGGGTGTGCTCCGTTCTCCACTTCTCTAGATCCTAGCTATCCTTCCCCATTCCCTTCTCTTCTCAGCATCACATCTGGATGTTTTAGCAAAGACAGATGATATATATGCTAGTTTTTAGCAGCCTCCATTTTGTGGAGATTTGTGGATGCCCCTTTAAAATGGCTAGCAGTTGTACAGCAATAGCAATCGCTGGTTTGTGTCCATGGCCACAATTACCGACCATATGATATAATTTATATGTTGTTTCATGTTTTTTTAAAAGCTGCATAGAGAAGAAAGCAAGGAAGTGATTTACAATGTAACTCTGGTTAACTCAGATTTAGTGTATTCTGTGCAACCCTAACCTTGCGGAAGAGAAGAGGTTGCATTTTCAAAGGATGTGTTACTAAATGCCCACAAAGCATTAACCTCCTATATTGATTTTTTTTTCCTACCTCTTGTTTCCAAGTTATTGTCATAGCACCTCTGGTCCTTCCTTAGATAATATAATGCTAGCACCCATGAACTATACAATAATAATTAATGAAGTGCTTGTGGCTGCTTTAGAGTGCATCCTGTCTGTCAGATAATGGTAATAACCCACCATGAGTGCTACAGCAGGAGTCTCTGTCCTGGGGTGGGGGTGGGGTGGGACAGGAGTGAGGTTCACTCATGGATTACCATTAACAAGACACTAATTTTTCTTTCATTTCATGGTTATAGTAGAACAAAATCTCATCCTTCCCAAGGAAACATGCGTATTTTCCTCTCATTAGAGTTTTGGTATCTTGCAAGATTGATTGATTAATGTTTTTATTCCACCTTTCTCCTTAAAAAGACAATATTTAAAGCTAGAATCAATAAGGAAGCAAATACTAAAAAGGATCAAACAAATAGTAAAACGAATTTTTAAAAATGGTCACACTAAAAAAACAGTAAACAAAAGCAACACCAAAATACATTCAAAGCGGTAAGGCACAACAGTACATTTAAAAATTCCACTCAGGCAACCAGTGACTAAGGGAAAGCTTGCCTGAAGAGAAAGGTGCTTGTCTGCTTGCATAAGGACAACAAAGATGTGGCCTAGAAGGATGTTGGATGTTAAAGTTAAGCACCTCAAGGGCTTCAGTCCTGGACATGAAGTGGAGAGCAACTCCCACATCTGTGTGATGCAGAGCAGTGGTTCTTAACTTTGGGTAACCCAGGTGTTCTTGGACTGCAAATTCCAGAAGCCCCAACCAGCATAGCTGGTGGCGAAGGCTTCTGGGAATTGCAGTCCAAGAACACCTGGATTACCCAAGGTTAAGAACTACTGATGCAGAGGACAGAGGGATGAACTAGGACTCAGGAGATCTGGGTTTGAATTCCTGCCTGGCCATGGGAACTCACTAGGAGGTGGAACTGATGAAACCACTCCTTAAATATCTCGCTTACCTTGAAAGCCCTATTAGGGATGCTATAGAAAGCCCTTCTGAACACAGTTAAACTTAAGTTCTGAGAATTGATCGATAGATCTGAGAAAACATAGAATTTGTATTCGCAAAGGCTTTCACGGCCGGGATCTAATGGTTGTTGTGGGTTTTTTGGGCTCTTTGGCCGTGTTCTGAAGGTTGTTCTTCCTAACGTTTCGCCAATCTCTGTGGCCGGCATCTTCAGACGACAGCACAAAACATAGAATTGTATTTTCATCCTGTTAACTTCACTGCACTTATTCTCCCTTAGCCCTGAAATCAAAGTTGGCTGGAAATGTAGCCATCTTGTGTTTACTATTGCTAAAAATCCTGGAAATATTGGTTATTAGTACAATTGTTACTGATGCCTATATGGAAACATCCTTGTATGGACTGTTATCCACATTCACTTGTTTGTTTTCATTCTAGCATACAACCGTTTTGCCTTTTATATTAATTGAGATGAGAACAACACATCATGAATATCCTAGCAAGACGTCTGGATTGGTTGCTGTATGCACCTTTTCTGTCAGCTACATATTATGGTAAGGGTTACATTTTTATTTTGTATAAATAGATAAATTTATAGATCACTAGGAAAATCATCATACAATATCCATGCTTTCGTGAATGAGGAGCACTTTGTCAGGTGTGTACCAGGGTGAATTGCTTAAAATCCAGAAGTTCCAGACACATGCACAAACATAAAATTCCCCATTTGCTTAAAGTCCAGAAGTTTTTGGCAAGAGGGATTTCACTAGGCACCTCTTTCTTAGTCAGGAAGGATGCAGGCTGCATTAGAGCTGTTGTTTTAAAGTTATAGCTGAGGCAGCTGTGGATTGGCGATCACACCACCTTCCTGCATTAGAGCTGTTGTTTTAAAGTTATAGTTGAGGCAGCTGTGGATTGGAGATCACACCACCTCAGTTCTTGAAACAAAGAGGCACATGCCATGCAAACACACACCCCTTCCCATTTGGCCTTTATTTGAAATGGACATATCCCTGCTTGGCTGGGGGGCTGGGGGACACACACAGAGAAAACCCAAGTCCTCCATCTGGGGAACTGGAGTGATAATTTAGTAAACTCACTAGGTTTAGCCTATTAAAATACTATTACCTAATGGTTGCAGTCCTGTTCCAATGATGTTTCTTCTTGTTGGTATGAAGGTGGGGCTGCTGTTTCTTGTCATCCTTGTAATTCCATTGAAATAAAAGGGAGCCCTGCGGTCCATGCAAAATACTAATTCAAGAGTAGATTGTATCTTGTCATCCTTGTAATTCCATTGAAATAAAAGGGAGCCTTGTGGTCCATACAAAATACTAATTCAAGAGTACATTGTATCTTTATAGATCACCAAAAAATCATCATACAACCTGTGAGTTTTTATGGATCAGGACCACTTTGTCAAGCAGCTGTAGGTTGGATATCACACCCCAGTTTTTCAAACAAAGAGTCATAGGCCATGCACACATTGTAATTCCATTGAAATAAAAGGGAGCCTTGTGGTCCATACAAAATACTAATTCAAGAGTACATTGTATCTTTATAGATCACCAAAAAATCATCATACAACCTGTGAGTTTTTATGGATCAGGACCACTTTGTCAAGCAGCTGTAGGTTGGATATCACACCCCAGTTTTTCAAACAAAGAGTCATAGGCCATGCACACATACACCTTCCCATTTGGACTTTATTTGAAATGGGCACATCTGCTTGGCTGGAGGGGGTGTGTGGTGACATAGAAAACCTGAGTCCTCCATCTGGGAATTGTGGTGATAATTTAGTAAACTCACAAGGTCAGATCATCTATTTTGTGAGAGATGTAATCACTAAAGTAAGTCACCTTTACCTTGTGTCTTAAGATGATTTTGTTTTGAGGGAAAGTATGTCAGACTTTACACAATAGGAATATAAACAGTAATATTTATGCTTCTTATTATTTGTAGGAGTTTGTGCCTATGTCTTTTGCTTTTCATCCCAGTAAGGCTCCCAGAGATGCTTGTTTTGATGTGAAAACATGGGGGCCTAGTTGTCTGAAGGATTATCTTTTCCTTGAGTTCTGATGTACTCCTGAAAACTGACACAAGCACCCTTCTTACCATGAGTAGAATCCTATAGGCAGCTGGAATTCCTTGGAAGCCTGGGAACAGTTGTCCTTTTTTGTGTGTATCAGTGAACTGATGCTTTGTCTGGGTTAACAAATTGACCCTTGGAAGCTAAAAACTGAAAAAGTAAGCACCATTTCAATTTTCTGTCACCATGATAAATGTGAAAAACCTGATATAAAAAGAAAAGTTACTACATAATTCCACGACAAAATAAAACCAGCATTCAGATGTAGGCAATACCTTCATTAGGAACAGCTAAAATTCCACAAACATGTGCCGCCTTTTGATTTCTCCAAAGTTTCTTCAGATTATCAGGCTAGGTGATATTTAAAATCAGCATGGGAGAGAAGAAGCAGTGAAGTAAAAAAGATGTGGCCAGCTGTTGTTTTGGCCTGCTGTTAAACCCCACATCTGTGAAATATTTTTCACTTTTGTGAAACATCTTGAATATTCAACTTCAAGTATATTTTTGCCACCTTGACTGAAGGTTCAGTTCTGAGTTTTCCATCCTTCTAGGCATACTTAGCACTAAACACTCTACTTTCTTCTAAAGCCAACAAATAGCAACTCAGCAAAATGGCTCCAGCTTTGCACTCTAAAGTGTACCTTAATGCATGTTCTCTTGTGCTTATCTAATAATGAGGTTGGACAAGAATTACATTGTTGAAGGCATTCATTAGAGTTAATAACAAGTAATCTTGTATGGAAGCTTTATGCCTCTGGTTGATCAGCCCATTATTGTTCAGTATTGAGTTAGCATGTATTCAGGGAGGAATGAGCTCCTTAGCAAAGGCCATCAGGTAATGTTTCCATGGTAGCAGTGCTACTTTTCCTACTCACATTCGTAATATAGACAATGGCAGGAATATTTCTAGTGCTGCTGCTTTAGGAGTGAGGATGGATAGTATGAGTAATTCCAATGTAGTAAGCGAGATTGAGTTCTGTGTCTTTAATGAGATCAACCCAGCTACGGCATAGGTGGTTCTGAACACTATCCATGAAGGTGCATTCACCTCCATTCTGTCTTTCACAATTAAAGTCTAGTAATAGCTTTCCATTTAGTTGCAGAAATCAGCCATCTAAGACCTGATCCTGGATGAGCCCAAAAAACCTACAAAAACCATTAGATCCTGGACATGAAAGCCTTCGCGAATACATATATCAGACATGTTTTTCTTACAAGGATTTGCTCAGCACCTATTTTTTTAGAGCCCCTGCCCCATCCACTTTAAAAGGATGGAAGTGGTTCAATGTTTGTAACAATGGCCGGACAGTGAACAGGAGAGTGCGCTAGGAGAATGATTTTGTGATTGATACAACAACCTGGCCAGTCAGTGCTCTGCACATCCATTTTCTTCTAAACCAGAAAACCCCGCCCCGCCCCAAGAGCCCAATCCTAATAAACAAGCATCTCAGCAATAATAAGAGTGCATACTCACCATTGAATGCAGCCCTCTGTACGTATCATAAGTAAATATTTGTCTTCTGTGGCCTTTTGATTATCCTGCATCTCCAAGTTTCTAGCCAGTGTTATTATTACTTTCTAACATGAGCCAAAGAAAGATTTCCAGGAATATATACAGTTCAAGGTACCTACAGCAATTTTTTACTTCTACTTCCAGTTGTCTTTCTAATCAAAACCTCCTGAATTTTACCGAATAAAACATTAGCTATTCACCTGTCTTTGGACAAAACGCTGGCTCTATGGTTTGGAAATGGGGATGAGCACCGCCCCCTAGAGTCGAAGACGACTGGACAAAAATTGTCAAGGGGAACCTTTACCTTTACCTATTCACCTGATGAAGTGGGCTTTAGTACATGAAAGCTTATACAACAACCACAGCACAATTCTATTTATATCTACTCACACTCTGACCTCAGTGGGGCTTACTCATTGGTAAGTATGTGTAGAATGGTAGCCTAGGTTTCTTAGTCTTTAGGATGTTGTAAGTCCCTCCCTCTCCCCACCTTATCGAAACAAGTTAAATTGTAGAGCCCTCTGAAATTAAAACATGTACATCTTGACTATGTTTCTATTATTCATGTTCATTTCCCTTCAGGCATCATAGTCATAAATAAATTAAGTTTTCTTTAACCACACTAGTGATAGAATCTCCTGTTCTTACATAAGGCATCAATAATTTGAAAGTGAGACTGGCAAAAAACACAAATAGGAAATAGCAGGCACTTTCCCTCAGTTTTATATCTGAGTGTGTATAGTATGGTCAGAGTCCAGGCTGTTTCCAAAAATTGCAGTTCCAGTTACAAGCTATAGAAGAATTTCCTGGATCTGTGTCATGTTTAGAGCAGTCTGGCATGTTCCAGATGCATTGCATTAGAAGTTTAGCATACGTTGAAGGCACCAGGTTGGAGGAAAGCAACATACACTGTACTGTTTTCTTCCCTGTGAGTCTCTGCATTTGTTTAGTGCATCTGCTTCCAAGCCTGTGCCTTCTGAAGATGGGCTTGCAGCTACAAGGAATGGCTTTATCTGTCATGGTACCTTTCTGGAATCTGCTTCCTGAGAGCGGCTGCTCAATTTATGATAAGGCTTTTTTCAACCAAAAAAATTGTAAGGATTTTGTAGCTAAAATCGCTAAGCAAATTTATTACTGCCCTGGTATTCCTCATGCTATGTTCTGAAAGCACATTCTGTTAAAAAAATACTGATTTTAAAAAGGGATATATGATGTAGGGAATATATGTACTGAGCCCCTCTTTTTAAGAAGGATACTAATAATCGGAACCTGTTTTGAAGGGCATCCAGGATGCTGAGGAGTCTAGAGGCCAAGTTCCAAGAGGAATCGTTGAAATAGCTTGATGTGCCAATCCTGGAGAAGATAAATAGAAGATGATAGTGAGAGACTGTCATACAGAAGTGGAGGCAGAGTTGTTCTCTGTTGCTTCAAAGGGCAAAACTGCAACCAACAGGCAATGATGTCAGGGAAAGAAATTTCAAGAAAACGTTAGTATGGAGTAGACTTCAATGGGACTTGTTTAGATAGACATTACAGAATCAGGTTGGTGGTGGTTCTATTACTACTGTATTTTATATTTCTGTCTTTGTTGGTTTTTTTATCAGGGTCTTTTGGATTTATCATGTAACAGGGGTCTGGGTATACCCTCTCCTGGATCACCTTGGAGCAGGTGCTAAAATTATCTTCTTTGCCACTGTAACTGCAATAATTAACATCTTGTACTTGCTGGGTGAGGTACTGAACAACTGCATCTGGGATGCACAAAAATGTGAGTATTGTTTGAAAAACATGTGTGTTAGTATAACATCAGTGTAGTTTTTATATTGTACTTATTGGTGCTGTCAGGGTGTTCAGAAAGGGATTCCATAACTTTTTTCTGCTGTACTAAGATGTTTCACATAATGCCACCATGTCAAATACAAACGTTCAAGCAATACTATTTCACATTACTACCAATTCATGCAAACACATCACCTCACAGCAGTTATACATTGAAGACACCATGTGAAGTTGTAAACAAATTTTACCACTGGTATATTTTTCCTAAATTCAGGGGTGCCAGAACCTTTCAGTCCCATAATGCCATACAATCAAAAGCAACATAATGTATAAGAAACAGAAATCAAACTTTCTCCAGAGTGAACAAGATAGTCCCCAATCCTATTTGCAGTTTCCTTGCACGCAATGGCTATTGCATATACAGCTGCCATTTGTCACTAGCTGAATGAGGGAAGATTCACCTCTCAGGCACATGTAAGCACTGTTATTTTCAAATCCGTGGACCAGTTACAGAGCACTCTGCCTTAAAGGTCCCTTCCAATTCAATTATTCTATGGTTAGGGTTGGTAAATGTGGAAGAACATAGTCTTTCAGGTGATCTGGTTCCAAGTTCATTTTAGGGCATTAAAGATTAACATTGGGCCCCAAAACAGATGGGAAAATAGTACAGCTGACAGACATATGGTCAAATTGACTAGTCCTAGTTAATTATCAAGTAACCTTATTTTGGATCAACTTTAGTTTTTGAACAGTCTCTAAAGGCAGATCCATGTAGAATGGAAATGGTCTGAGTGGGTTGTCACCAGAGCATGGATGATTGCAGCCAGCCTGTCTCCATTCAGTTAAGACTGCAGCTAGGATATCTACTAAAGCTTGTAAAGGTGATTTAAATTATAGTAATCACTTGACTTTGTATGATTAAATCCCTCAAATCCATCAGACTCCATTAGCAACTAGAGTAGATTCATGTCAATAGGTTCAATAGGTTCCTTCCTTGCAAAAAGGTAAAGCCACCAATAATGTACATCTTGACAGGATGTGGTAACAAGGGATTAGCTATTGAACCCACCAGTTCAACTCGTTGTCCTTCAGTCCTGCTAAGAAAACAGAGTGTCCCATTTGAAGGGTTGAACCAATAAAGACTTCCCTGTGGTCATTCTGACAGCCATGGAGTCCTGAGCCTCCAACAGACAAGGTGATCCTGGAGTCCCCCAATAGAGTTATCCTGGGAATTCTCATTTTTTGTAGATGCCCGTGACTAGAACCCAGACAAGCTTTTCCCCAAGACTGCCTCCAACAACTTAGTCTGGAAGAATGCTAAACAGCAGAGTGTTCGAGGCACCAGCAGCATCCCCCAACCTGTCCAAAATATCAGTACTATATAGAAACAGTCCAAAATGGTGATTGCCCAGGTCTGAACAAGTTACAAGTTGTTCATCCTTGCTTTTTGTAAAAAGTGATGCCTTTCCATCCAAGATAACTGCAGCTTGCAATGCCATGGTCCTCTGGGAAAGTTCTGAATCAGTTTAGCACTGTAACTTTGGAAAATATTGTTTGATGCATTTCTGTGGCCCTAGTGCTGGGAACAAGTGAAGTCTATTGTGCTGGACAACTGGTGTAAATCAGATACTCTTTAAAAGGTTTGACAGGTATATCACAAAAGTATGCAGTAAGTCTGTGCTATCATATATAGAGAATATGATAGAAAAAACCAAGACATTTGAAAGGCACTGCTAAGCCTGCAAGCCTTCCCCCCCCCCATTTCTTCAAAAGCTATATTAAATGAAACACCACTACTGACAAAATAATTTGTAGTTGGTTTTTCCAAGCTAAACCACAGACATAGTAGGCAAAGAAAATTTTCCTGTTCTCCTTGCCAGAGCTGACCCACAGGTCTGAAGATACCAGAATTTCTGCCAGCGTACTGGATCCATCAGCAGTAAAATGCTTCTCAGAAAAATACGATAGATGTTCTTTTATTAAGGCAAACAAAACAGGGCAGTTTAAAACCACTGGAAAAAATTCCTCAAGCACCAGAGGACACAGAGGAACAGAAATTGGCAGTAGTGCTCAATCCAACGCCAATATGCCTCGCTGGAGCCATGCCATTGTTTTGTTTTCTTAAACCTTTGACTGACTATCCAATTATTTTTGGTTTGTCAGCAACACCCAATCCATTGTATTCAGACTATTTGCAATGTTCAAACCCAATTGTTTCCTTATTATGCCTTTCAATAAAAATACCACCACCGGCTACATTGTCCGGGAAAAGAGGAGGACATTTTTCATAGGTGTCCATGACCAGAACTTAGAGGTTTTTCCCTATTTAAATAATGTAATCTATGATCAGGTTTTCTTTAAAGTCACTTTAAAAAAACAAAACACCCTCTCATTTCTGCCCATCCCCACATCTCTGTCCCACTGAAAGATCAGAAATGTTTCCTTGGGATGAGATAGAGCAATCGGAACCTCCCCATAAAACACTTGCAGAAAATTTCTGCGGTGTATGGCAGGGAGATGTAGACCAACTAAGCTAAAAAGGCAAAAGGATAAAACTTTTGCCAGAAGCTAATAATAGAACATTGCCCAGGAACAATCAACTAAAAGAGCTGAATGTTTCATTTTTCACTGTTGGCATGCTCATGTACACACACCACTCCCCCAAACATATGAATGTGGAAGAAGGCAGTGTGATATGATGTTCTGGTAAATGGGCAGTCTGTACATCCTGCTTCCTTCCTCCCAGTCTTCTTTCTCTGTGCTTTTGCTTATGTGATGTATAGACAATCTAAAGTGTTTCCTCCAAAAATGAAGCAGAAAAATAAAGGTTATTGGCTACAGTTGTTTTCTGTCTGTGCTCAGGTGTGGAAGAAGGAAAAGAAAAACCTAAATTGGACTGAACAAGAGATGACAGAGTGGAAAAGAAGTTTCGCTGGTACACGGGAGGCATCTCTGCATCAGGAGAGGTTGCAAGAGGAAGCCATTTACATGAACAGTGCATCAAGGATACTTTTATTCTTCTCTAAAAGGGGATATTGATTCTGTGACCTGCTCCTCCTTCCTGATGTCTATATCTACCCATGAGACTACGTATAATGAATATATCCACAAGGTTCTCAGCACACACTGTTATCTGTTTATCAGTGTTAAATGTCTTTCAAGCAACAGGAGGAAGCATGAAGCAGGTCTATTCTACCTTGGCCTTGGAAACTGGATCAGTGGAGAAATAATTTGAAATGATGGGGCAGCCCATTACCAAATCAAAGAATATGCTGGTGTTCAGTCATCAGGTTGCAAGCTGTAGATATTGGAAACAAGGAGGGTCACCTAGACAGGGATAGAATTGGTCTGCAAGAGATACCTAGACATTCAGAACAATAACTGCAATCCCAGTTTTGCCCTTCACCCCTTTTAATTAATTATTTTAATCAATTAATAAATTTAATAAATTAAAAGAAATTAATTAATCATTTTACTTTTCACGGTTCCCAAAATAAGGTCTTAAATATGTGAGTTACGTTTCCACATCCCATTCTGTTACAGGAGGCTTAAATCATAAAACAGAATAAAAACAGCAAATAGAAAACAGATTGAACTGCAAGAAATGCTAAGCCATTTTGTAAGCCATGCTTAAAAGATGTGTGTTCACACCCATCCTGAGAATGGGAACTCATGACATCTCTGAAGGCAGTGGATCCCACAGTCTGCAAGCAATGCAAGACAAAGCCCTCTCCCATGTGGCTGTAGCTTGGGCTGCTCTCAAGACGGCCACTTGTGAAGATCTTAACATCCAGACAGGTTCATAATGAGATAAGCTGTCCCTTCGCTGTTTTAAGCAAATGATGAGAGGCAGTAAGAGTTCCGCTATTTAACATTTACTTGGAACTGGGCATTATGGTCCATATTAAATGCAGGAGGCAAGGACAGGGACTCTGAATGGAATGCTAGCAGTCGGAGAGCATCAGATCAGAGGAACTTTTCCATCAGAGACGGCCCATCTACACAAAAAACGATGTCCACAGGGGAACCGCCACTGAAGCAGCATGTAATCTTGAACATGTGATGTCATAAAATACATTTTTATATATATAGAAAAGAAAGGGACAGGTGTAGGATAGTCTGCCAGAGCCCCAGCCTGCCCCTGGAGAAGAATTAATGAAGATGTCCATTTATCTACTGTGAAGGCTGTGGGAATTCTGATTGACCTTTTAAAAACAGTTGCTGAGAGTGTTTTAAGTTTCCGAATATCTATTCTGGAATAACTGAAAAGTTACTTCCAGTTACTGTGGAGTGGGGGGGGGCGGTTTAAGCTACCCGAGGCTAGGGAAGACCAAAAATAGCTTTTAAATGACCCATCACACTAGGATTGGTCATTTCTACTCTGTTTCCCCCACAACATGGTGGGAAGTTAGAATTTTTAAAATGAGCAAATAAGACCCTCTGAAGTCCAGAGGGAGTATGAAAATGATTTTATTTATTTTATTTTAAGGGGGGAACTCCAGTCTCCAAGCATTGGTCAGCGGCTATAAGCAATCTGCCTCGATTTAGGAGGCAAAACTTCACAGCTATACAATGCCCCATTTCATGCACATTTGCATATGTACATATTTGGGACAAAATCCAAAATTAAGAAGTCACAATGCACTAGAATATTTGTTCCATACAACTTGAAAATACTTTGGCTGGGACTGTCAAGTACTGGAGAATTGCTTCCCAGGTCTTTTCTACTCTGTGAGCCGTGAGACAAAGACCTATACCACAACCCTATCCAAGCTGATTCCTGTGTAGTTCCCATTTAGCTGGAGTGAGGTTTGCTCTTGAGCAGGTGGTTATACCATTGCAGTAGCTAATGTACGGTTGCCCTGAGACTATTCCTTCATCTTCAAGGCTATTTCAAAATTAAATAAAATCCTTGCCCAAATTGGCTGGAAGCTCTGTATGCAGCCACAAATCTGTATCAGAAAATATTTATAGATGTTGTTCAAAGTTTAATGCAAGATTTTCAAACACTTCAGTGCTGCAATGTAAATTAAGCCTCCATTGTCAACAATGTGAAGTTTAGGTTGGTAAAAATAAGTGCCCACAGTTTTGTTAGAGTCTTTTGAGTGCTTTTGTGCGGTAAGGTTTGCATAACTCATTTTTTTGCTGTTGGGACTCATATGTCTGCAGACTAGGTCTGTGTTTCTCATTGACCTTTTTATTCGTTAAACACTGGATGCTGGTCTTTGTCTGTACTTTGCTCTGCTCACAGCACAAATGGCAAATTTTTAAAAACGAGAATGCCGAAACGTTGCAGAGCAGCCCACATTCTTCCTGTTAGAAGCGCAGTGTTCCACTTTTTAACACTCAGCATCCTCCCTGAGCAGCCTTTCTTCATCTGCTTTTGTGCTGCAGTATAAGCAGTAACATGTTTCTCTAAACCAGTTCCTGGAAAACACAAGCAAGAGGCTGCTGTGGCACCCATGTTCTGCTCATTAGAAATTAAGAACAGAATGCTAGACTACGTAGTCCTTTGATCATATCCAGCATGTCTTGTGAGTGCACACCAATATAGCTGCTTCCTTGGCCATGAAGGTAGTATGAGAAAGTCCTATGCCACATAGAAAGTGTCCTGAATGTAGCTGCTTCAGACTAGTTTCACCTTAGGATCCAGGAAAGGTGATGCTGGCATGCACAATAGTTCGGTGTGAACTTCTCCCATGTAGCCCAGAGCGTCTGATGTTACCTTTTCATCACAGGAGTAATGTGAAGAGGAAATCTTAAATGGACACAACTGATCTCAAAATGAGGCTGCATTGGAATTGTTTGTCAGGCATGTGGTTGGAACACACTGGACTGTATCTGCATATCGCCTTCTGAAAACTAAAGGATTAATTCAGTTGATGAAAAGATTATTATTGGGAATCCCACTGACAAAAGAGGGGAAAGAATTTGTCGATTTCTCCTCCCCACAAGAGTCTTCATGGTCCTCTTCCACAATGTTCACAGGGTTTCCCCCAGCATTTCTGAGCAGATTTGGGGAGAAAGCATGGGAAATGAGGCAGACATTCCCCAAAGGCATCCCCATCTCATCTTCTTCTAATAGGAGCATCTGTGCTCAGGAAAGGTACCTGCTGGCAGGAACAAAGTCTACATCTCAGTAATTAAGATGGTGGCCAAATCGAGAAGAACGTTCTGAATATATCTACAATACATTACCCATATCAAGAAGCTACCCTTTCTCTTGGAGCCAGTGAGATGTAGTTCCAGTTAAAGCAGCAGCCCATATTAGTGCATGCAGAGTGAACAGGAGGTACTTTATTAACGAGCCAGGGGGTTTCTTACAAAACTCTTAGCTGTATAGCTAAAACTTCTTTGAAGGGTACCTTCTCCCGTTTCCATGCACCAGTAGGTCTAGCCATATTGTTAGGCCACATAAGATGGCTGCTTCAGGTTGACAGATGAAAAGAGGCAGTAGATGTTGGAGAAGTCTTTGTCCCTGCACATCTTCAGCTAGCCTATGGTCTTCTGGTGAGGCAGTAGCTGCTGTCCCATTGTTTATGCTGAAGGAAAATGATGGCCTAGTGAGCTTTTTGTAAATTTTATGAAGCAGGGGGCAGTTGCTTCTTCATGTCTGGTAGCAAAATGGGGTGGCTTTGTCCACCCTGATTACACCTAATATATCCAAGGTTCTGCATATATGTAGATTCCTGTTAAGTCCTCTCTCCCTCCCCCCCTCCATTTTAAGGTCAGTATAACACCGATAAGAAAGTTGTTCCTATCAAGAAGTAACATATTTTCCAAATATCTTCTTTGCCTCTGATCCAATTGTATTCACTGATGTTTAACCAGATACCATATGAGAAACTCCCTTGTTGGATAGTTCCTCTATTACATCATCTCCATTTATCCTCTCCTGCTAACAATTGTTTGTGTATTGTAGGAAAACTGATCTTACAGCCTTGTGGTCCTCATTTTTGTTATTCTACTGAGAACCCTCTGTCCTATGGGTACACAACAACAGTAGCACTGTTTCAGGTAAATGCCAAAGGTGTGTGAAAATACTACAATATGAGTACCTTTAATTTATGGATAATTGGCAGAGATCATGACTGTTGAAGAGAAATATGTGCAAAGATATCTTGTTTATGAGCTTCCTATCCGATCAGTTTAGGCACTGAACTGTTAGGCAAAGCATTTGTCTTAAACTCTAGGTTATCTATAGTCTAAAGTAGGCCACCGCAGAAAACTAGGAGACTTTTGATACATTTCAAATGTTCCAGGAATATCTTCAAGTAATGTTCATTTTTGTTGGTTGTTTCCACAACAGTTATGCTCAAATTGTGTATTACTTGGCTTATTGGATTTCCACCCTTCACACTGGTTTGTGGGCTTCATTATTCTTGACGAGAACCATCACATGAACCTATGGAAAAACCCTTTCTCCATAAGTACTGTGACACCTATGACATAGCACAAGCTTAAAATTGTTTATTTCGCATTATGAAAATACAGTCTAAAGTTCCTTTCCCTTCTTCAAAATAAGTGACCAAACAAATGTCCCTGATGGGCAGGATGTGGAGTAGAAATATTTATAATTATTTATTTAAGTAAGTCCCATTGTTCCTTTTTTCATAGTTCCTCATGATTGACTGAGACTTCCCAGCCGAGTCTGCTAGCCTATTTTTCTGTATCCTCTGTTGTTTCCTTATACCAAATTTTAGACTGTAAGCTCTTCAAGGCAGGGATCTGTCTACTTCTACTTTGTAAGGGCCCCATATAAATAAAGAGTGCAGGCTTAATACAGTGTGGACTTAATGCTTTTGTTAGGGTTCAGATACTGCATATTAATGATGGACACATATCCTCAGTGCATGCAGTCAGAAGCATGCATTTCCTTTCCAGAGTCAGGTTTGTAGTGGTGCTGGAAACGTGCTTTGGAAAGAGAATCAGGCTGTCTACAGCCTTACGTGGTGTGTGAGATCAACAAGAAATCATTCTTGCTTGCTTGGCGAGCAGTTTTACACACTCTGAAAATGTATAGCTGTTTTCTCTTAATGCATAATATGGTGAATGGTTCAATCTATGCATAACTGTTTGTCTGGTGCCTTAAAAATGAAAACAGGAGAGGAAGATTGACAGCAAATCCAATGTTCAGTGAGTTGGCCTGTACCTCTTTCGTTTCAGTTGTTAACAACCTTTGCTGTGAGCTCTCTCTCTTTTATTATTCTGACCTTCCACCTTAGTGCATCTTAAGGATATGCACTGGTCTCCCCAGCCGTACCTGAATAAGAGTATATAGAATGGTGCCAGATGCACCCTGTGCCCAATCCTTCTCCAGGTCTGTGGTGGTATATGTGTGTTTCCAGATCTCTGGGAAAAGGACTCTTGCAAATGGGGAAATTCGAAAGACAAGACCAAGTCATAGTAAATAGAGCAACTGAAACAGGCGTCAAAGATTGATTGGGCTCAGAGGTGCAGGCAGGACAGAAAGGCGTCTGGCCAAGGCAGTAACCGTTTGCAGAGCTGGGCATTCTTATTTTATCTCACTAGTGTGCAGAGAGGCTTCCCAGCCATCCACAGAAAAGAAAGTGAGTAAAGGACTTTAAAACAACCATGGGTAGAGTCATCTTTGATTCCTTCTTAAAACGGCAAGACAAGGAGCTCGATTCTTCTTCTCACCATTTAAAATGTTATCTTCTCCTGTTTCCTTTCTCAGCACAGCAAATAGGTTTCTACAGGGAAAAAAAAAGACAAAACAGTTGATTTGTGCTGAAAAAGGTGGAAGAAAGCTTCAAATCTTATCTCTGCACTTTCCTTCCTTTCTCTGCCCCCACATTTTGTCTTCCTCCTCTTTGCTAGATCCGAAACTAGTGATGCTGTGCCTCACCGGCACCATTGGAGCTGTGACTGTGAGAGTACACACAGAGCATCAGATGACTGAAGAAACAAGCGTCTTTTATTATATAATAACCTGTTTTGCAGCAGGAAAAGCAAGGAAGGTTAATTTCTAAGGTAAAGCACATGCTTCCTCTTTAAGCATCAATTCAATAATTTTCCTTAGTTTCTCTTTTGCTTTTCCCATTTGTAATCCCATCATGTTTCTTCTGTTTTAACATGAATTGGATATGAAGGATCCATGAAAGGATGCAGCTCCACCCTCTCAATGCCTCTGGACCCTTTGCTTATCCCAGCAGTTGCCCCAAAATGCACAAATACCCCCAATTTAGTTTGCTTTACAAGTTTATCTCAAGATAGTGTATATTCCTAATGTACTTTCAGATCACAAAGGTATCCCACCAATAGAAAGGAGGGAGCATAACACCAAACAATAAAAAGCACTAACACAGACTTGGTGTTTCAAATTTATTATAATTCCAATCTTGCCCTATCATTGCAGTTATTTCTCAAAAAAAGGAGTGGGCTTTAGCCTCTGTATTGGAATACACCCAGTCATCACTATGGAGTATTGGCATACCAGGTTTAATGTGAAAAACCCCGAAACTTGCAACTTGACTACATATTCTTCTTGGAGGAAGAATCTTTTTTATATACCTTACACATTTTATTAATAATGATGCCTTTCCAATCAAATTGGTTGTTGCATCTTGTTCCAATACAGGCTGTTTCAGCAATTCTGAGAAAAGTAAGAGTTCAAAGTATAACAAAGAATTTTCCTGCACCTCTGGTCCACATCTTGCATTCTCCTGCTGCCACCTGGCCAAGGCCATATGTACTGCTTCTTATCTTATTTCCTT